TTATATTTTTAAAATAAAATATTGTTAATGCATTTCTTTTTTAATTTTATTTTTCTTTATTTTTTTGTAATGTTTTTAAATTCTCACTTCTCCAAATTTTTAATTTAATTTTTTTGTATAATTTAAATAATTCCCCTTGATTCCCTTGTTTGTGCTTAATCAATCCTTTGCGCCTTTTAAGCGACATCCTTGTGTTTTCTTCCCTGGCCAGTTGCGAGGAAGTAGCAACCTGCAACAAGAGCATGTATAATAGTACCATTACGTAGGTACTATTGGAACACGTTTCTTGTGCATGTTTATGTAACGAAGGCAGCTACTCCACCCCCGCATCTACGTTTCAGCAGTATGCCAACTGTAGAGGGAAGAATTTTTTGTAACCGACCATTTGTGCGCGCCATATAATATAATTTGCTCAATCTTTTGATACCAGTCGGTGGAAAAGTATGCCCAGATACATTATTTGTGCAATTGAAGTTTTTTTTTTCTTTTTTAAATAATGTGGCGAATTACCGAAGCAAGTGTTTACATATAAGCATATATCTGCAGCTTATCGTGTATGTAATTTAACGTAGCAGTTCTTGCATATGCATTTGTCTTTTTATTTATTTTTTTTTTTCGAAGTGCTGATTGTTCTTCATTTATGGGGAGACCAGCTTGCCGAAAAACTGCTACACCGTGTACGTATCACCGTTACGGCATTTTATTTGTATGTTTAATTTTTGCACAGTTGCTTTGAGTATTTTCTGGAAGGGGCAAGAGAAGCCTTCCAAAGTTATACAGCACACAATTTCGTGAATTTTTTTTTTATTCCACTTTTACATTTTAACGTTTTACATTTGTAAGATGCCCTCCCTCCGTATCTAAGGCGTAGCAGAGAACTTGCGTCGACCACCCCTGCGCGTTTTCGCCGTTCGTCATTACGTGTGTTGTACTCTTCTGCCCGGGCGGGCCTTTTTTCAGAGGCCTTCAAACTTTGTGATTCGCCAGTGTGTGTAGAGTAGAGCAGCACAACACAGGCATATACATTTATACGTACACATATATAGATAGGTAGCTAGATAGACGGATAGATAGATACCCATAGGCGGCCAGTGCGCCCGGACGAGTGACTCCCCGTTTTCTTCACCCGCGCCTGCACCAATGACGAAGGTAAAAATAAAGAAAAAATTCAAGCACAGCGGGACGCTTGAAGAAGACTTAAAAAACAGTGTAGTCACAAAGAATAAAATATTTAAAAAAAAAAAAAAGGGAAATAAGGCAAGTGAAAAGAGAACAAAAAAAAAAAGAAAAGACGATGTTCAAAGAATTTTGAATCTGGCGAATAGGCAAAATGAGGAGGATCTGGAGTATTCAGACTATGGCAATAGTATCAGTGGTGACGATCTGGATGGTGGCCGATTAAAACAGGTGGATAAGTTCCTCCAGTTTGATGACGACATCGGAGGGGAGGAGGGAGTCGACGATGATGTATCAGATCGGGAAAATTTGATGGCGAACAAAATGGTGTTTTCTGCCGAGCAGATTAGCCATAACGAGAAAAACCAGATGGATGAATCTAATGACATTTTGGATGATCTTGATGTGAAAATAAATCCCCACGGGATTGAAAGAGGAGCCAAATTGGACAAGGGGAAGGACGTCAAAGCTGAGCCATCCGAACAGGTAATAACACTTCTCAGCCAATTTATGGAAGAGGAAAGAAAAAAAAAAAAAAAACGAAAAAAAAAGAACTTACGACACGGATAAAAAAACAGTGTGGTGAGGGTAGAGAGTGCCCAGTGCAAGCGACACCCGTCAGGCGCCCTTCCCTCCAGAAGCAATTTTATTTTGTTAAAACTAGTACCAATCGATGGCGCTTTCGTGTCTGCAGTGAACTCTGCACACGAAACGCTTGTAGTGCGAATGAAAACACTGGTTGCTTTTTTTTTTTGTTTTCTTCTCTCCCTTCCTGTACGTTTTATAAAAAAAAAAAGCGAAAATAAAATTGCTGAAAATAAATTTGCTGCAGTTATCAGGGCATAAACGTCTTTTAATATTTGAGGAGTTTATGCAGAATTCTGGGCACAAAAAAAGAAAAAGAAAAAACGTGTGGGGTTGGGGTTTCCCAGGTGTTTCTGTTCGCATAAGCACTCCGCGTCTTAACCAGTTGACGCGCCAGTTCTGCGACAATTCTACCCCATTTGACACGCCCCCATTTTCCACGGGTATTTTCCCACTCTCTCCCTAACAGGAAAAGCTCGACGCGCTGGTCCAAAAGTGCTACGAAACGATCGGAGAAGAACTGGCCCACTACAAGAAGGGCAAGTTACACAGGGCGCTAACCGTTCTGGTCAAATCGCCCAGATGGTTCGACCTGCTCCTTCTGACGAAGCCGAAAAGGTGGACCACTCAGGCGACCTTTGAAGTTACTAGAATTTTCTCATCAGGATTGAGGGAAAAGGAAGTGGCCCTGTACTACGAGTTTATTCTACTGCCCATAATTCTGGACAATATCGAGAGGAAGAAGAAGCTAGAAACGTTTCTGTACAAAACGTTGATTAAGGCTTTGTACAAATCGAAGGCCTGGATGAGGGGGATGCTGTACCCCCTGCTGCGTCGGGTAGGTCAGAGTGTAGCACATGTTAGGGTAGATGCGAAGCTTTTCCTTTATACGCGTCTTTCTGATGGTGAAGCAGTAGAGTGAGGCAGCACATTGAGGCAACGCGGTGAATCGCTCCTTCGACCAGCGCTCGCAACCACGAAATGGCGTGTTTTAACATGATGATTAGTTTTTGTCTAAATTACAAATAGTGATGACAATTGTACTGCCCCAAACTGATTAAAACGCAAGTGGACAGAAAATTAGGGCTAGAAAATTCGAAATGTGGCGTTCTGTGTATGTCTGCCCACTTACCCGCCATGCTTCGTCAAAGCAAATAAGTGTAATGCAGGCAATGAAAACCGAAAAGAGAAAAAAAAAAAAAAAAAAATAAAATAACCCTTTTTCTATGTTTTCTTTCCCCCAATGTTAGGAGTGCACCAAGAAGGAACTAGCCATTTTCGGAAGTGTCGTCCAGAAAATGAGCATCTCGATAAATTCAGTAACGCAGTGCTTGCAGGAAATTTTTACCTTTCCGTGGAACTCAAACATTTCCCACTTCTTATGTCTTTTTTTTAACAAAAAATATGGATTCTCCAAAGAGGTGAGGACTGTCGTGAGGAGAGCGGCGCGTGTTTTTTGCGCGCCCACGGGGATGGGGATCCAACAACCTGAGTTTTCTTTAGGCCTACCCATTCGGTGCATCGCCATTTCCCGGCATCGTTTCCCTAGTTTATATTTATGATCATATTCCCTTTTGTACTCCCCCTTTCCTCTCTCTGCAGTTTATCGAAAAGTGTGTAGACTACTTCGTCTCATTTTTGAACAATCCTGACGTATTGACAGTGAACTGGCACACCTCGCTGCTGCTGCTCGTACAGAATTATAGAGGTAAGCGTAGGAGCAGTTGCGTTGTGTATGTTGGCGCTGCATAGCTTGATGTGGCGCAGTTTGCCGCCTTGTTGTGTGGCTTCAGGCTATACCCCTTTTATCAACGCATGGAGTTGTTACGCGCTTGAAGAGGAGCAATTACAAAGATGGGCCAATCGAATGGGGACCCCTCCTTTTTTTTTTTTTTTTCCTTTTTGTCGCACATGATGAAAGCATACGCTTGGCATCTGAATAAAATTATTTTGAAGATAATTTTTGTAACCAGTTATCCCTATCTGACAAAGAAAAAAGGAAAAAAAAAAAAAAAAAGGCCCCCCTTCGATTGGCGTTTCTTTCTGTGCACATTTGCTCCTTGCGGTATTGCCCCATTGACAGACGCCCTGTTGGCAGTGGCTGCACAGGGAGGTATAAGTACAATTGGGTCTTTTCTACATGGCTGTTTTTTTTTTTTTTTTTTTTTCTCCTCTGAACAGCCTTGATGGGAGATGAAGAAATTGAGAAACTGCGCATCCTGGTGATGAAGAAAAATCACCCCAAATTTTCTAGCGAAATTTTCAAGAGAATGTACTCACCCACCTCACTGATGAACAAAATAAAAGATTTGGCGACAGACCCGAGTGAAGATATGGTGTAACGGAGGAGGTGGTCAGAGTAAAGTGCTAAGAAAAGGGTGTCCATGGTGGTGAGTGACCACGTGGACGAAGCGGTGTAACACAAAGGGGGGGTTCTGAACATGAACTGTACCGTTTATGTTTCACATTATTTATTTTCCTTTTTTTTTGTTCTTGTTCGTTTGGGTGTTTTTTTTTTCATCTTTTGGAGAGGGGTTACCCAGCAAGGTTGGACAGGTGTGAAGAGGAAGGAATAGTGTAGCGTATATAGAAAGTGAAGCGACGGGGTTTTACCTTTCAGGGGTAACCTCCAAAGGGAAGGAAAAGATCCCCACGGATGATCCGCCATCGCATCAGGTGAGTAAAGAAAAAAGAAAAAGAGTACCGCAGGAGAGTGAAAATATTATACTCCATTTTGAGTGGCAAAGATATAGACAAAATTGCGCCTTCTCGGGGGGGAGGGATAAAATAAAAAAAATATTAAAATGATGAAAACTATTCAGTTCTGCTTCTGATAAGTAATTGAAGATACATTGCCCAGCTGATTTAATATTTTTATATTTACTGTCCTTCTTCCCGAGTTTGCTTCCTTGCGCGCAGAGTGGCCAAGCGGCCCTTCCCAAGACACAGGAAGTGAGAGGGGGGGGTATAGTAAGATGTAAATTTTTTTTTTTTTCTTCTTCTTCCTTTTTATCCCTCCAGATGGTATACATAAAGAAAACGCGAGAAGTGCATTATGGCCTTGGTGGAAAGATATATGCCTGATGCCCATTCGGAGGGGACCTTTCTTCGCATCTGCGAAATGGGAGTTCACTTGGGGAGGACTCGGTGAGCCTTCCCTTGGCACGATGGGCCGTATGTTCTATGCGTCTTTTTTTTTTTTTTTTTTTCTTCTTTTTTTGTAAACTTGCGAACCATTTGATAAGCTCTCAATTTAAAAGCGTTATTAGCTCATTTTTCTAAACGGAGGGAGTATAGTGTCTACTGGGTGAGGATGCATTTGATAGGTGTTCCTTGGCCAAGCCGTGTAAGAGGGGCCATCCTAAACTATGACATTTTTGCTACATTTTACTCACACGAGTAAGTACATACAAAAAAAGTGTTTGGTTTACCTTTATAGTGATGTGTGTAGTACGAATCGATTGAGTTGTTAATTTTTTATTTTGTTCCTAAAAAGGGGGGGGAGGCATATATTCTTTCTTCTATGTTAAATGTTCCCCAGTTCGTGATTTTACCCCTCATAGGAAGGGAGATAAATTGGGAAGAAGGGTGTCCGTTCTTGCAGTGTCGTTCTTCCAGTGTCCTTCTTCCAGTTTCATTCTCGGAGTGTCGTTCCTTTTTTATTATGTGAAATGTTAACTTTCCCGGGGCAAGGATCACCAAAAGTCGAAACACTATGGATGGCAAGTTTATCGACGTGGAGGCGAAAAGCCTATACAGCGTCATCGAGACGTTCGAAAGGAAGATTGTAAATTTGTCTTACATAAATGAAGAGGTACTACACCTGGATGTGAAGGCATCATGTTCGAGAAAACGGTTTTTATTGCGAAGGGGGATGCACCTATTGTGGGTGGCACTGTTATAGTGTATATGGGTGTATATATATGTACGTATGTATGGGCTAGTTAGACTCTCTCCTTTCCTACTTGCCCTTTCGCAGGTGCTGGAGAAATTGAACGAGAAAGAGCTGTCAAGCCTACCTGAAGAATTCTTCACCTACTTTAAGGACATAATAAAGCTGAATAAATTGTATGAGCATACGGAGATTATAAAATGTGAAGAGGAAATGGAAGTGGAGGATGGACAGGGGGGAGGCGAACGAGGCGGCGAAGGAGAAGACAAACGAGACGACAAAAATTACGACGAACGGGATGACGACGGAGACGACCAACTTGGAGTGCACGGGGAACACCAAGACTTGGTGGACAAAATTAAAAAGTACTGTTCCTGTTTGTGCAGAATTTTTGAGAAAAATGAAAACTTGTCCCCCATCTTGAATTCGCTAAGTGAGAAGAAGAGCCACGATTTTTTTAAGTTCTTGGACATCGTGAAGGATTTGAAGGTAAGTGACCAACCCAGGGTCGTCAATTCGTGCACAGTATGGTATGCACAGTATGGTGTGCATAGTATGGTATGCACAGTATGGTGTGCGTAGTATGGTCTGCAAATGTGCGTTGCATGTCTGCCTTGCATGTGTGTGTTGGATCTCCTCCCCCAGAAGGGGCGGTCCCCCTATTTTGTAAATCTCCATGTGGGACCTCCCTCCATCGTTCCTTTGCACCATTGAACAATGGCACCATGGCACAATTGCATAATTTGACGATTGCATTTCTTGGCGACCCCTCGACAGGACATCTTCCTGGTGAAGTTCCAAACGACAGTGGAGGAGCAGCGGAAGCGAATCGAAAGCCTGGAAGAGTTAAAGGAGGAGGAACAGAGAACACAAAACGAAGAGAAACAACTAAATGACGAGTTAGAACTTGTTAGGAGAAGAAGTCACGAGGAATTGAAAGATCTTCAGAAGATATTGATGACAAAAGAGAATGAGCTGAACAATTTGAAGAAGTCCTCTGAGGAGAGCATAAAGAACTTGCTAGATCATATGCCTGTAAATAACCTCACAGAGGATTTGGAAAATATCAATGCCTTGCTCGACAAAACGAAGAATGTGTATGATGATCAGATTAGGACATACCAAGACTTAGAGGTCAACTTGGTGAAAAAGAACGTCCTAATTGAGCTAGATATTCAGAATTACATCGAATCGATTGAGGCGGAGATTGAGGAGATGGATAAAGGTGAGCCAAGTCCTGGAACGAAGGAAAGGGGTTTCTTCATTAGGAAGTATCCTCACCCGTGCAGTCAAGGCCACCTCTTCTCCCCCACATGGTAATCCCACTCCTTTTGCCGCTCCCCGCAGAAATCCAACTCTGGGACAAGAAACTGAGAGAAAACAAAATTATCGACATAGACCTGGACGCCACAATGGTGAAGAAGAAAGTCGAAGTAGAAGAGAAAAATTTTTTAAAAGAACTGACAGACAAAAGGAGAAACATCCTTATGAAAAGAGAAAATGAAGACAACGAAGCGGCCACGATTATTCAGGCGTACATCAGGGCGGTGAAGGAGCGAAGTATTTACAGTGAATACGAAAAGAAGAAGAAAAAAAAGAAAAAAAAAAAGAGATAACTAGGGGTTGGGATGGGTTGACTCGGTGGGGAGCCGACGTGGAAGAGCAATCCACCTGAGGGGAATATAGACAGGTTCGCCATTTCTACAGAAGTAACGCTGGACGGAGGAATATCAAGCAGCGTTGGCGTCTTGCACAAAATGGGATAACCTGGCAGGGATTCCTCACTTTTTTTACTATGGAAAAGACGCAGCGTGGATCTCTTCAAAGAGAAGCCTATCGTCTACATTGAGAAGAAACAAACAGGATGACGAAATGGCGAAGTGAAAAAATGTGCCAATCGTGAAAGCAACAAATTTGAACTGTGCACATGTTGAGGGTAACCGTCCTGGAATGAGAAGCCTCCCATTTTGTGAGAATTTGCAAAAAAGGAAAAAAAAAAAAAAAAAAAAAAAAAAAAATAATAAGAATTCACTTGTGTAACACAATTGTGAATATGTCCATTCGCGTGTGTGGATTCTTACAAACATTATTACTCATTTGAGGAAACCCTTTTGTAACGATTTCCATTTCCATTTTTAAAATCTCCTTTGTTTTGTCTTTCATGTCAATTTTTGTATGTTGCGTGAACAATGCATGTCGTACTTTTCCGTTAAGCTAGTTGTTTTTTTTTTTTTTTTTCAACGCGCAAAAGATCTGGCGTATGTTTTTTTCCCTTTTTTTTTCCTTTCGGTTCTCCGCTTGGCCCACCATCGTGATGTCATAAATCTGTTTGTCTGGGCGCGGAAAGGAAGCAAGTATGTGCACACGTGGATAGTTTTGTGGTGAGAGGTTAGCGGCTACCCGTTAGCAGCTACCTGTTAGCCTCACCGCTTAGCGACTACCGCTTAGCGTTGGCAGCCGTGCCGCCTGCAGTGAACGCAGACTACGCTTTCCTGCATCCGCCGCGCCCAACCCGAACCGCTTCCCCCCCCCCAATCTGCCAAAATGAACGACGTGGATATAGAGGACTACCACAGGAATATCCTCCAAGAGCTGAACGCAGTTGAAGAGGAGGGGGAAATATCCTTGTCTATATTTCTAAACGACTTAATAGATATCGACATCGAATCGAATTTTAACTTCAGCTATCAAGTGATCAGTCGGGTGATGCAAATATGTGTAAACTCGCTAAACAGGAATTTGATCACACTAGCAGATGCATGCATGCACTTTATGCGTTACAGCATTAGTAGGTGCCTAAAACTGGAGGAAGAGATTAATCAATCCTTCTTCGACAGTATAAACACGATCGTGAAAATATGTCTTAATATGAAATACTTCATCGACAACAGATCTTTGTTGTTTCAAAGAGGATTTTTATCCTTCATCATCGAGTTAGATAAAAGTTCACCAAATTTCATGATTCTATGGAAAGGGTACAAAACGGAGATGTGTACATTTCTGCCCTCCCTACTGCATCTCATTTCCTTCCACTTAACTCTCCTAAATGATGTTTTAAAAGAATTCAAAAAAGATGAACTAACCTGTAACAGCTACATGCAGGTGGGATGCTCAAGAATTAAGATCATCGAAATTGCCTTCAATTTGCTCTTGAAAATATTTAAAGAGATCAAAGAAATTCCCTTCATTTCGTCGCTCATCGATTATGTCAACCTCATTGTGGATACTTACGACCACATACCAGACGTAGAAATCAAGAAGAAGATCTTATCTCTGTGCAGATGTTTGTATAGCAGCAACTGCGATGGGAGTAAGACCCATTTGGCTTCCCTCCCAGGAGTGACCAATTTGCTAAGCAGAAAGAGGAACAACTATTTGGCACTAACCAAGGAGAAAGACATAAACATGGGCTACCTGAGAAACTGTTCCTATATCTATGTCTCCGAGAGTCACCTCTTCATCAGCACATTTAGCGCCAGTGGGGGGGAGCGGCCAAACGGGACAGACAGGACAGACGGGACAGATGGGACAAACGGGACAAACGGGACAAATGGGTCAACTGTCCGCATCAACTATGGGGATACCCCCCCACACCAGGGTCATGGGGTTTCCCCCACCAGTCCGAAGGAGAAAGTCATTTTGACTCCCAACGGTTTCAGGGGATGTCTTCTGCTGAACTTCTTCTACGCCTACTTTTACAACACCCAGAACAAGTTGCTCATCGTTTTGTGCTACGACCAAGTGAAGGTGCGGAAGGACTCACGGGGGAAGATGCTCGTTTTTCGTTGCTCGCGGATGGACGCGCTGGGTAAGAGCGAAGGAAAAAAAAAAAAAAAAAAAAATTATAAAACAAAGTAAAATGAACACACACGTACAAATATACATCCACATATACGTACATATATGCATGCTCCGCTTCAATCGTGGGAAACGATGGGAGTTTCTCCCTAGCTGCGGCTCCGCATCCTCACCAACACTAAGGAGCCGAACCCCGTTCCACCCCCTACAGGTGCACTGTCAAACAAGCTACGGACACAGTACGAAGGCCGCCTCCTGGACCACATAGAGATTTGCGTCAAGTTCCGTTCGGAATCGATTAAGAATAAAATGTTTGATGTAATCGCGGAGGTAATTTCGATTGACAGTAACGAACCTGACGATGGTGAGGAGGTGAAGGAGGAGTCGGATGAGACCTGTCTTCGGAAAGGGGCTCAGCACGAGACAAAGCTGAAAGGAGACAACAAGAGTGCGAATAGTTTCTCCGAGGATGACAACGACTCAGACAGTCGCACCAACTGTGTCAGTGCGGACGAAATAATAGAAGAAGAAAAATTGGAACGCAGGAAAGTAAGCTTTGCCTCGATGAAGGAAATATACCTAATGGATTATCGCACATCGATGAGAACGAAAACGTTACTCCTGGATGAGTCCCTAAATGAGATGGACAGACACGACGACGAGGGGGGGCTCTCCGATTTGACGGCTGAAGAGGATAGGAAGGTTCCTAGTGCTCCGGAGGAAGAAACTAGTTGCCCAAGCGTCGGTAAGGCCAGCACATTAGGAGGGATCCTTCCGGAGGAGGGAGGGGGCACCAGCCATGCATATGCAGTAAATGAAGCCGGGTGGGTGATCGAGGCAGATGACACCCTTGACCCCGAGGGGGGAGATGGTGGCGAATCACTTGGAGGAATGCCCACAAAGGTGAGCTACGCAACGACGAAGGATTTGGAGCACACGGAGGGTGTAGAAGACGAGGTGGCTATTCTTGAGGATGACGAATTGTTTGGGGAAAACCCATTCCGCAGTGTTCTGTCAGAGAGGAGGAAAAACCTCGGTGAAGGGGGTCAACTGCCAAATGGCCAACAGATATACCAAATGAAGGACACCAAAAGGGTGAAAGAAGAAAGCGGAGGTGAGGATCCACAGGACGAGTTCCTCATTCTGTCGGATATGGACAAATTGCGTGAACAAGTCTGCATTGGGGAAAGAAGTCAAGGCGGGGAGCATGATAATGATAAAGACCACGTTGACGTGGGGAGCCACCCAGGGGAAGCAAATGAGAAAACTTCTGGAAGTATACACCAGATACGTTTAGAAAATGATGGGACGAAGCTACTACTCAGTGAGCCTGTAACAAAATTGGAAGAGGGCAAGGAAGGTTCAAGAGAGAAGAACAAATCGGATGTTAGCTACCACCCGAAGAGGAGCTACAGCCATGGCAACATTCCCCAGGGGAAGGAAAGAGAAAGGAGAAAAAATTGCCCTCCTTACGATATAAAAGAATTTATGATGAAAAATGGGATTGATGAACACGTGGGAGAGGAAAAGAGAAGTCCTAGATGTGATCCTTTAGAAAGCTTCCTCACGGGTGATCCGTGGAAAGGAAGCAGTCATAGGGGTGGGCAGAGCATCCTCAAGTCGCCACCCGAAATCGTTAAGAAGTTACTCAGCTATGACGCGAAAGAGAAACACGTTGATCAGTGCATACAAAGTTTGGCAAAGCCACAAGGGAACGGCACCCCTAGGGGGAGGCAGCGGGGGGACCTACAAAGGCATTTACACCGCGTTGATCACAGAGTGATGCACAATCGAGAAGAAGGGGACAGGGCTAGACAAAGGGTAAAGGAAGAAGAGAGTAAGAAGGGAAGCGGTCACATTATAGAGGAAAGGCCAGGCTATCAAGCGGATGGCCCTGTAAATTTGGACAAAACGGACACTCCGAGCGAAGAGAACCCTTCGGTTGCAGCGTGCCAAAGTGGAAGAAGACACGACGAGGGGGAGACGGGGGAATACTCCGAAGTGGTGAACATTGAGGGAGAGGACGAAGCGAGTAACGAAATGATCTCAAGTGACTACCTGGTGGGGGGAGAAATGGACGGCGGGGGAAGCAGAACCAGCATTCGCAGGGACGGGATATGCAGAGACGGCACTTGCACAGATGCCAGTTGTAGAGACGGAAGTTGTAGAGAGGGCAGTTGCAGGGACAGCATCTGCAGGGAGCCCCGTCGCACGAATGAGGCCTTCAGAAACTCCGCAGTGAAAGGAACACACCACATCGACAAACCCAGCTCAAATTGCAAAAGTAAAAAAAGAATCGCAACGAATGAAGCCAACACAGCGAACGGAGCAGCATGCCCCATGAACGATTACGCAGCAAAAAATAACCACCCAGATTCGCCTTATCCAGTGAAAAAAACAAAATATAATTACCATGACCCAAAACTTTTGAACTTGCTAAAAAATGAAGAAAATTTGGACAAGTTAAGTGCTAAATATTTGATTAAGGCTTATACAATAATTCAGTATAACCGCAGAAACACACACATACAGATAGCGGATTGTTTCCGGAGCGTTAGGAAGGAAATTACCACATCGTTTGATCTCATTAACAAAAAGTACTCAGCTTGGTTAAAAGAACTGCAACTGAAATTTGCTGGGAGACTTGAGGGGATTGTTTCAAGGCACTCATATATGCTCCTGCTTAATAAGAGGCGAACTGGACAAATTAATGTGGACACACTTCCCATTCCTATAGACCTCCAAATTATTTCCACGAAAATAAATACACTGCAGGACACGCTTAACATAGTGCAAAGAACTATGGAGGATAAGATTAAGAATTTGCAGATTTTGATGGCGTACAAGGAGAGTGATGTGTATACTTCGTCCCTTTCGCTGAACACTCTGCTGTCCCGCTGTTCCACGCAGCGCCTAAGGGAGGGCGCCGGCGACGAGCAAGGCGGGGGTGCCCAGCAAAGCGGCGGTGAGAAGTGAAGAGACGGTGAGAAGTGAAGCGGTGCTGAGAAGTGAAGCGGTGCTGAGAAGTGAAGCGGTGCTGAGAAGTGAAGCGGTGCTGAGAAGTGAAGCGGTGCTGAGA